TTGAGAAAGATGTATTTGACAAGATTGGAAATGATGTAATTATGGAACGTTATCAAAATATGCGAACACGTAGACAACAGTTGTAATAAAATATCTATTTTTTCTGCATTTTTTGAAAGTTTGATTGTGCCCCCCCTGTTCAAGAAGTCTGCGTCCTATAATGTGACATTATACTTTTTTCCTTTCAAATGAACTGCTGCTACAAGGAGTCCAAGATGTTTCTGGGTGAAATCATCTTCAAATGTGAGATTGTTGAACAGTGAAGCTATTGATGAATGGTGATGTGATGATGTCGAGATTCACATGACAAATTCTTGTGCATGGTAAATTGTCAAAAAATTCTTGGTTGTGTAAAATATTTCACATTTTAATTAAATGTGAATAGTAGCCACTATTCATTAATATTGGAGCTCACATCTAGGATTTGCACAATTCTTGCTACATTTTTCACATCAATCATGCTATATGTACACTTAATTTGACATCAAGCTTGACATTGTGTCACATGTTGTGGGATGAGTGGACAGTTTTAAAATAAAATACATTTTCCTGCTCATTTGCATTTGAAAATACATGAGGTGTCAAACTCCATGTCAACCAATTAATGTACAATAAGCTTTATTCTTTTCACATTGCATTGTACAGGAAAATTGCAGACTCAATCTTCGATAAATTGTATGAAAAATGTAGTAGAGTACCTAATTTGCATAAAGATGAAAGTGTGAAGAACAGTGTGAAGCAAAAAATTAAACTTCAATATTGTACAGAGAGTTTCGAGAGAAACTAGAGTGGAACCACTGCATAAGCAAAAGGACGAGTGTGTATTTTGTGATCTTCTTTTCTTTTACTGATACAGTGAAATATATTGGTGTGAGGAAGTGGACATAGCACAATTGCCGAATCATGTTAAATCCTCCTTGTGTCTCGTATTTGGTACTTATTTTTGTGTCTTTCATATATATCAGCTTAGATAATATATTTGCGTCCCATTAATCTGGGAAATTGGTTCCCTAACAGAAACCTAATGCTAAGTTTTCATTATCGATTATACAGATAAAGATTCGTCAACACGACATAATTAGATTTACATTAAAAAAAAAAAAAAGGTAACACCCTAGAAATTATATCCTCAAACGTTCGTTTATCCATAAAATAAATTGAATTGATTCAATAGTGTAATACAAAATTTTAAAAAAATATGTGGAATAAGATAAATGATTTTATTATCTTATAAAATGTCAATTAATTTAATCCACTACTGAAACATAAATCTAGTACTTATTTTCAATGTCGAGTTGAAAATAAAATTCTGATTTGCAAAATTATTTTAAACTAATAATTACTAAATGAAAAATTTTAAATTCTTGATTCAGTGACATGGACCATGTCAGCAGTTTCAACCTCCAACTCCGATCCATCAAGTATTTGTAAAAATAATTTAGAATATGGAATGTGCATATGAATGCAGTCAGTACAGATTTCATGCCAATATTTTCGCGGTTTAATATAAAAAGCAAGTAAATTACGAACATAATATAACTTTTCTAATAGGATAAAAATTTGACCATCTCATTTTCACTTAGGTCGTACCCATTCTTAATCTCCACTTAGGCTATTTAGCCTTATGGTTGATTTTCGTGTAGATCTACATAATAATACCTCATGGTATTATTCACAAGACCACTCTTTAAATTGGATCACATAATAGCACATAAATTACTTAACACAAAACATTAAAAAGTGAAAACACAAAACTACTTGTCACATATAGAAATCCATAACTTTTTTCGTTAAATTGCTTGTATACTTGAGTTACTTAAAACTAAAAATTCTTGGAAACAGATCTCGGATCGCTAAAAAAACATTCTCTTTTATTTTCTTTTCCTTTTCTTTTCTTTCTTCTCTCTCCTTTCCTTTTTTCCTCTCTTCCTCACGTCTCTCTCCCTTCTTTTCTCTCTTTCTCTGCTCTTTTTCTTTCTAAATTTGCGTGAACAAGATATTTATAGGTGTGATTTGATAAGAATAGTTACCTAATTAGAATTCTAATAGTACTCTTCATTCAAATTTACATGGGTCTTTCAACAAATAAACAACAAATAAACTTATCATGAAATTCGAATTTAAAAAATTCTAACTATATAAATGATAAGATTTTAGTTTGGATATGTGCAAATTTCAAAGTTTATCTATATACTTTTATATTCGATAATTCGATAATAATTTAATAGATATGCAAAATAATATTAAAATGTAATTTTGAGTAAAAGTAAAACTCGTATATATCTATTAGGTATTACACAAGGTCCCTAAAAAATGGTAAAGTTGTTAACTTACCACTTACCCTAAAATCTCAAAACTTGCATTTATGCCTCATAATATATTGCATGTATTTTTTGGGTATTACAAAAAAAAAATGTCATTTATGCTTATATTAGTAAGTTGAGCGAGCCAGATAATTTTCAAAAACTCACTTTCTTTTCTCATATGAATCATATATTTTAAGAAAGTTAAGAGCTTCTACTATTAAAAGAATGCACTGCCATATCTTGACTGCATTATTCACATGCATCAAGACTTTCTGATTTTCTTTTCTTTTTTCCTTCAAATTATTAGCACTACAAAATGCTGGCTAGTCTTGTTCGATCTCGAGTCCAAATCCAATAGGATATTTTCATTGCCGGAGCAAGAGCGAGCCACCGAATTTGTATGGAGCAAATGCTAGAAAAACAATTCATTGAGCTTAACAGTTAAGGTGTTGCTAATTCAGCTTCAGCTGCTTGCCTGCTTTTCCAAATGATTGGAGCCACTAGCATCCATACTGCATTATCAGAAGTCTTTGTTTTTAGAACAATGGTTGGAAGTGAGGTGAGGGACAAACAAGGCCTTATGAGTTTGTTCATAATATAAACAAGCTGGGATGGGAAGAAAGTTTTAACTACTTACTGTAAATGCAGGCTGCTAGCCACTCATTCACTATCTTCACCCAAGTACTGGTCCAGCCGACGTCAATTGTCCACCTGCGTTGAGTCGACATGCATTGCATATAGTTAAAAACGATTGTCTTTTTGGAGAGATTTTTGCTATTTAAAGTGAAACAAGAATGGCATTGCAAAAATAATTACTTTTTCATAGTATGATGAGTATTCCAACCAATTAAGAGCATTGCAAAGTACATGGCTCCAGTGGCAAAAACAAAATGAAAGAATCCATAACCATAAGGAACATCATCATCTTCCTGTATCTCCTTCTTCCTGAACTGCAAAGTGTGTTGTCATGTGAAAATTTTGAAAACGAACCGGTAAAATTGAATGCAAAAAGAATGTAGCACTGGTAAAACCTGAAAGCATTGAGAATCGATGCCAGTTGAAAATGTCGCAATAACCATTGCAAGAACCGCAACAACAAAACTCTAACAAGATCAAACAAAATTGCATTAGTTATGGAGCAAGTGAAAATATTTGTAGACAAGACTGATTTTGCAATAATCTCTTTGTTATGTCTCCAACTATTGAATTAAATAGAAAATAAAAGAATTTCTGTAATTTTTTATCGTGTATTTGTTTGGAGAAATAATGTCTGAGAATTACTATGATGGTTAGCCAGTCTCTTTTTGCTGCAGTTCCTGCTCTTTGAATGCATTTCCCTTCAGGTGGTTCACTGCAAACACAAAAGTAAGACGGTGTCCGAGAAAAGAGGGAAATGAGGACACCCCCATTAGCAAGGAAATATGGCTGTAACAGAATTTTATTGCACTACCTTCTTTTAATATTGTTCATTTTGCATAAAAAGGCCTTACTCCTATCCTCATGAATCTGACAAGAAATGTGAATTGTCCTCTCTTTGGAAGAACCATATAGAAATAGCTTTGCATTTCTTTGGATATGGGATTACATGTATACGAGACTGTGTACTCATATTTGTACATGGTGTTTGAAACTATATTTTTTAGATGCAGGAGTTAAAACTGAATTACTAACACACTTTCGTTTCAATAGTGTACCACAGTGAGTTTGAGACTGAGAAGCATACTATTAATTGAAGGCATTAAAAGACCACAAATTAAAAAGCATACCTTCTGATGGCAGACCAGCAGAGGAACACCAGATAAAGCCCCATAAATCCTGGAGTCACAAAGCCAGCGTTCACCTGTTTTGAAAGTATGTAATGGTTTTAGATATTAAAATATTGAGCAAAAATGAACTGACAGAGAGAGCACAAAATTAACTTACTTTTGGGTGAAGAGATACACTGGTCATGAGTTGGAGAAGTACTATAGTCCAAGAGATGAAAAAAATGTTGAGAAGGCAAGAGGGCTGCGGCGTGTACCAAATGTACATAAGAATTATCCCAAGTATGCATACAACATAAGCTGCTGTTGCAAGTAGCATCACATGAATGTGGCTGCACCATAATCTCACCATTAATCACTGAGTGATGGGGAAAAAAATGACAGAAGAATGACACAACTCGACATCATTGTACAATCACGAGGGTAATTTATTGTTGTATAGAAGTCCTGAGATTGAGTAAGCAATAGAGAATAAACACTAGGCATTCACATGGTTCAGCACTTGATTTATGTCCACGGGTAGAAAAACTTCAGCAACAGTAGGCGAGAAAACAAAAGAGTACCACGTACAGACGTACTAAATTCCGAACTCCCCATAAAGTACATAGTAAGGGATTATACAAAAGATTATGAAGTACTCAAACCAAAATCCAACTAGTGAGAGTCTGATCCCAAAGCCTCATCACAAGTTAGTCAATTTCAATCTCGAGACCTGGGACGAATCCACATAACAAGGGGGCTCCTATCTATAGGAAATATTTCCGCATAAATGCAGTATTCATTCTAATCATATTTGTATTAAAAGCAACAAAACACAGATTAATAATAATTTCATGTGTTGTACACAATCTTTCATTGTATTTTGTGGCTCCGATAAGCAGAAGAGATTGTTAATGAATTCTTCAAGTGAGGCACGTACCATCTGTCAGCATATTTTTCGGACTGGCAACAATCATTCAACCATGTAATGAAACTGATGATGCTTATTAGTTGAATTACTAAAAATACCCTGCCAAAGAGTTACAAAAATAAAATAAATTTAAAAGACGACATATTCAAATTACTGAAGATTAAGCCAACTTTTCATTTTTTGAAGAAAAACGTACAGAAAAGTGTTAAAGTAACAAAAAATACAGAGAAAAATAATTCAATTCTCGATTGTGGATGAATAGATATCAGAAGAATTAGTCATACCCGGCACCAAAATGCGCAAGCTGCCCTGCCAGATTATAATGCATTAGGCTCATGATTTACAATTCAAAACTAAATTTGCTACAACAAAAATTAAAATTAAGCTGTTAGTAGATGTAAACAAACCATATAGTGAAATGAACTCTGGAGGAAGAAGAAATGATAATATGATCAGTGCGACCTTCATCACAATCTTGGCAGACCACCATCCAGAGTGCCAACATTCTCTACGATCATCTAGCTTTGAAGTGCCAACTGTTGAAAGAAACATTGCAAAATAGAATGTCTGTGTATATAATGTCAAGGCTTACTTCAATTTACCTCATAAACATGAAAGATCACGTCTTTGGAATGTTTGGTGAACCTTGTTATTTAGAAAGGAAAAAGAGAAAGAAAGTGTAACTGCTTATATCTTCATTTGGCATCTTGTTTAGGAGTGTTTCAAGTTTGAGTTAAAGTCCAAATTTTTGTATTGCGTGTATTGAAATTCCCATGTAGACTAGGATTAATAGAAAGCGAAACTTTCCCGCCCCGCTATTTCTGACTGAGGAAATGGAGCAAGGAACAAACCTTTCCTATGTTAGTGTAATTTCTTCAACAGAAGTTTAACCAAGTAAATATAATTTAAAAACCTTTTCTTGTAGAGAATTCAAATATTTTGGATCTCCACAGTTCTCACATAACTTTACATGAAAAACTCTGGCTTTTGCCTATTATTGTCAAGAAAAAATATGTTGTATGGTTGTATGGTATTTATTATAAGGATACAAAGCATCCCAAGCTAACTCTCAGAACTCCTTCTGCACCCAAGCAGTCTTTGACCCATTTGCTTCCATTTAGTCCTGCACACACAACACGTTAAGAATGCTTCATGTTCTGTAGCTGGATCATACAGTCATCGCAGTATATGGTGCAAAATTTACAGATGAAGTATGTGCCTTTCATTTAAGCAGTTTTAAGACAAATAGATACAAAATTTTTGAACATGAAAAAGTCTTACCTTTCATTTCTGTCAAGGCACTATGTCCATAATCGCGAACAGCCCACGCAAGAAAATTTGTAATGAGAAACATCAAGCTGTAGGCATATCTAGCCATCCAAGGATTCGAGCCATTGCGAAATTGATCAAACCAAGAACCATTTATGATCCTGGCATACATAGTCTTGGTGCTGTTGGTTGTGCTCCCCATTGCTGCTTCTGTATTCGGCATGACCGATTTTTTTTAATGGAGCACAGAACAATTGGTATTCAAGTTCCTAATTCCTCTTCACCTATGCAAACACAATGTTAAATGTTTAGCAATAAGCCCAAAAGTTAGACAATTTCTTCAGATGTTTCGGCCGTTATGGATGCACATCGTCTATTAATGTGAGCTTAGAAGCACTTTTTTGAAAATCCATTCTTGAAGAAACAATTTCTTTTGGAATTACTCAACAACTATGCAATTAGAAATTCTTCAAGTAAACGGCTCTTTTTGGAAGCGTGTTGTATTCATCTACCTAACACACCAATATATCAGTTACTTGCACAGTATGTATCTAATACTTTTTCACCTTTTTTTCTTTATTTATCAAAGTTGCATTCCACGCAGCCCTTTTGGCTCAACTTTAATCCTTCATCTATGAATCATATTATTATGTACACACCGCAAATTTGTACCATTATATAAAATTCTACACGTATCTACACAAAAACAAATTATATATTTAGTTTCCATCAAGAAAAAAAGATAAAGTAATTTTGAAGAAAGAATATCCAGAAGTTACATAACTCAAATGGACGAAATTACATTACAGATCATAACAGAATTACCTGATCAGAAGAAGAAGAAGAACATAGATCCAGATGAATCCAAGAAAATACTAGTCTCCTTGAAAAAGGGCTCCCTCGTTCGTTCTTACTTTATTGATAAGACGAATTGCATTCAAGAAGAGAGATTTTCTCTGTATATTTCACCTTTTCACTTTTGTGTCGCTCCTATGTTCAATACTAGAAATATATGTGTCTGTTTGTATATATAGAGTGGGGTGGTTGCTTTTACTTTTGGTGCCGTGTTTAGTGCCTCTTTTTCCCCGCCGAAGCCTCTATTCTATATTTCTTATACGGTTTATTTTAAGAACGCTTGAATTCTTCATTCAGTTCTCAATCTTTCATGTGTTGAAGAATCATAATTAAAGGCCTGCTATATGCGCATGCCACTGCAGGCTAACATAATAAGCATTCAAACCACCATTACCATTCTCATCATTAAATTCATTCTTGTTGTCAACTATTGATTGTGTTTTAAATGTTATCATTTTTGCTTTGACTCTATGGAACATGGATTGACTTCCACCAAGAGAGATCATTGTTGTCGTCAAAATTCATATCATTTCTTGATGTTTCTTCGGAGCTTCAATCCAACAACAAACATTATACAACGTTTAAGGCGGAGTTGGGTTGTTCAATCCAGACATTTTGACGTTTAAAATTATTACATATCGATTTGAAAGTCTCTTAGAATCGTTGAATTGTTTCGTGTTCACCGTCTCATCTGAAAATTTAAACTATTAAACATGACACACATTTATTGTTGTCTTCAACGTGTGCAAAGGTATGATTCTTTAAAGCATGACAAATGCAGGTTAATTATCTCAATCATCACTGAACTTTGCTTAAAGTTTCTATTGGGTCACTGTACTTTAAAAATTACGTCATTAATTACTGAACTTTGGAATTTGCAATCCCATTCATCATCAATTGAGCGGTTGTTAGAAAAATTGACAAACTGCTGATATGGCTAACAGAATAATTTACGTGGCACGTTTTTGTAAGTGGTTGATGCCTAGTAATATAGTTGCTATTGACGTGGAAATGTCGGTGATGGATGGGATTACAAATTCCAAAGTTCAATGATTCCCAGTTGAAACTTTAATCAAAGTTTAGTGATGATTGAGATAATTAACTCGACAAAAGTGTAATAAGTATTGTATTGTTTCCGCTTAATATTTATTTTCCTTTTTTAATAAAATAAAATACACCGAGATATAAGTTTATTTGTCCGTGAAAACATATAGAGAAACAAGATCAAACTAAACTTTGATTACTAGCCAACAGGAAATTAAAATCATGAATCAGTCTATGAGTACAGAAAAAATGTACAACAAATCAACTAAAAATACACTTGGCATGCTTCATTGGAAGGAAAAAAAAAGACAAACAGGCGAATAGGGTGCTGACATATTTTTTTCTGACCAAGAATCCTGTACCTTCACTTTTTTTCTAAAATCATAGTCATAGACAAGATACATCCAGAAAAACATTATTTAATCGGTCAATTTTATTTTCTCCTGCAATAGAATCACCATTTTCTTTCTCAAAGGAAATGGACATGCAAATGTAAATAGCATATGGTTATTCAAAAAAATGCCAAGAATTAACATACAAAAGTCCTCGACAACAAAATTCTTCACTTTGTTTCTTTGTCCCAACTCAAAAGATAAGACTAATGTGTATAGTATCGAAGCGTAAAACGAGATCATGTTTAATTTATTTAGAATGAATTGACTCAATTCCGTTTAGATGTATAAAACGAGGGTACAATCAGTCATCAAACTTTGACCCCAACTACAATCGACAGAAATTGCATCACTGCATTTCAATCTAACAACAATTAGATCATTTTGTTAGAATGTCAAAGAACTTATTGGGACATACTGAGATATATGTCAACGTCTTGTGGACTTGATCACCATATCATCACTAACTTAAAATTAGATTAAGCTATCGATAACAAAGGGCCTATAGAGTATAGTATTAGCCATTAGGTATTGTAGCTTTTTTAGTCGGTGATGACGTCATGATTAAATTCATGTGGAAGGCATAATGCCACATTAGCAAGTTGTATTGTGTTCTTTAATGTTGCACTAAGTGGCCCCCAGAGCATATCTCCAAATGGTAAAAGGGGAAGGTGTGGAAAAACTCCAACTTTACTTGATGCTGCCGTGTCAAGGGTTCGAATCCTAAAATATGGATTTGACCATTGGGTAAGTGCAAGTGTACAAGCAGCCTTCCACCCTATACCCTTGAAGGCATAATCTACGATTTACCTCATTCACTAAGTCTCAGGACAGGACAGGTGGGGACCGCTAAGGATGCGGTTTATCTTTTTTAATGTTGCACTAAGTGACCATATTTTGTGAAATTGGAGTTCAGTGTAGCAAGTCTAGTGACATAATTGCATGTGGGATCTAAATTTGTTGCCACAGATAGTAAATGGAATTTGACCTATCTAGTATTTTTTGCAGTGTCCAGCGCGCATATGTTGGCTGTGTTTTCGAAACGTCTTGCTTATAAGGTATGCGCATGATAATACGATCAACCCATTTGGTTGATCGTATATGCATCTTTAAACGTCAAAATGCACACTCATATATGTTAAAATTTATATCAAAATTAGCATAATAAAGTTCAATCCATTTTTATAACTTAAAAAAATGCAAATTGAGCCCAACAAATATCAAATTAACCCAAATCACCCAAACTCATGTAGGCTTTTTGACTTTTAAAAAAATCAAAAATCAACACACATTTTTCGTAGGGTTGCAAACTATCTACACCGAACTTGAGCCTCATCCTTCTTCGATCTTTCTCTAGTTATACTAGCAAGTGAGGCTAGCAACAAACAATCTTGAATTGTTGATAGTTGTGATAATGAGGATGATGAGAATATTAATAATGATATCCTATCATTTATAAGAGGTAATAGAAATTATCGAGTTGAAATAAAGAAATCCGATGAAGATGGTTTTATATCGGATGACACGAAAGATGACTTGGATGAAGATGAGTTTGAATTTGAATTCGATAAAGAGTTAGATAATATTTAGGATTTTTTAAGTAGATATTCGTGTTTAATCTAATTGGAGGAATGGATTATTAAGTAATTGTAGTATTTATGATTTTGAGCATTATGTTTTTGTTAAAATTTTGAAGAATATGTATAAAGTTCAAGTAATTGTAACATTTATGAGTTGAGCAATATTTTTGAAATTTTTGAAGAATATGTATAAAATTTAAAAGTTGCATTATTTTATTTATGTAATATTTTAGAATATTAAAAATTTTAAAATGTATAATTACTCGTATGCTTCGTATAATCACGCATATTTTTGTAAGGTTTGACACTCGATCGAAACCTATTGTCACCCATTATGCATTTTAGAACGGTGATTTTTTGACAGACCACTGGACCTAAATAAATATTTTTATTTCTTATTTTTCTATTTAATCTTGAAAATATTATCGAAAATAGCTAGAATTTTCACTGGATAATGAGTAGGTTTGGAAGTGGGGTTGCGTCCGCCGGAAGGGACATTTAGTGCTTCAATCGTGCCATGATTAAAGTAATTGTAATAAAATACCCCTTATATTTTTCTTACATAATTAGTACTTTGAAATCTTTCTCCAATGATTTTAAATGATGATTAACGATGGCAACTGACAAGTTTGCCGTTGCTACATTAAGTTAATTATGATTAGACTATATGAGTATGTACTTCTCTAAATAGAAAAATAAGTAGAATAAAGGATTTATTTAAGAGTTAGTGAATCCAAAATAAAAGAAGTAAAATGTGAAAGACAAAACATTATAGGCTTAATGTTTGAGTCTCGGAAAAATGTATTTTTGAATAGTGATTTTTTGGAAAATATATGATTAAAAATTACAGAAAAGTTTTCGATTTATGTATAAAATTATTTTATTGAAAAATGTTTGATTGAAAATGAATTTTGAAAAAATAAATTCTTGAAAACTAGGAACCAAATATAGGCTATATATTAACCCTTGTTTGGGTCTCATTCTTACAAAAATTCATTTTTTTCGAAATTTATTCAATTACACATTTTCAATAAAATAATAGTATACGTAAATCGACAGCTCTCTCTCATTTTTTTAATTATACATTCTCCAAAAATCATTATTTCAAAATGCATTTTTCCTTTAAAATGGAGCTCAAACAAGTGCTAAGTCAAAATTATTAGACTATTTACGATATCCAGTTGAAACAAAAATACTAATGATAATCCAATAATATTATTTCATCTCGAGCTTTATTATTTAAACACTTCACATTATTTATAAGTCAACGTATATAGTTACTGTAGGGCCTTGTTTTATAGGGTGACAATTCCAGGGATGTTTTCCATTTT